GTGCACAGTTAGAGCTTGGTAAAGAGACTTGCATTGTAAATAAAGTTCTGTTGAAGTTGTTAATACTTTGCTTGGTGGATACAACATTTTGGCGACGAGGATGGATCTTCTGCCTCTGAACCCACCTGCACCCTTTCTGCAAAGCCCAGGTGAGCCTCCAATTGCTTTTACTGCCTGGGTCCGTATGTTTGAGACTTATCTGCTTGCAATGAGTGCTACAGAGATTTCTGAAATAAGAAAGCGTGCTCTGCTAATCCACTGCCTTGGAGCAGAAGGGCAGCATATATTTTACACTTTTCCCCTTGCAGATGATAAATATGAGACTGCACTCACTGCATTAAAGAACTTTTTTGTGCCAAAAGTGAATGTAGTAGCTAATCGCTACAGATTTTGCCAGCGTGAGCAGAAACTAGGGGAGACTATAATGCAGTATATTGCTTCCCTGAGGAGTCTGATTGTAACTTGTGACTTTGGGAATATGGCAGATGAGATGATTAGAGACCAGCTCATTGAGAAAACAACAATGCTTCATGTAAGAGAACGCTTACTTCTAGAACCACAACTTACATTAGAAAAAGCAATAACCATTGCTACTCAGATTGAGTCAGCTACAGCTGAAGCCAAAATAATGAGCCAGGGTACAGGAGGCCCAGTCTAGGCTGTGACTCCTTCGAGGAAAAGTTCATTATCACTACAGACAAACAATTGCAAAAGGAAAACTAATAAAAAGCCACTGAATCAGCGAATGCAAAATACAGTAAAAGCATGCTTTCGCTGTGGATCCCCACAACATCTTGCAAGCTACACAGGATGTCCAGCAAAAGTAGCTCAGTGCAATCATTGCAAAAAGATTGGGCATTTTGCTAAAGTATGTCACAGTAGCCAGTTCAATCAACAGGTGCATGCAGTTACAATACCAGGTGTTACTGTGCTGAGGGTAGACAAAATCACTACTGCACATATTCCAGAACAGATAAAGTGCACTGTAAATGTTTCTGCCATACCCTCAGGCAAATCACACTCTATTCAGCTAATGTTGGACACTGGCTCAGCAGTATCTATACTACCTGATTCCATCTATTTGCATTACTTTAAACATATGCCTCTTACTGAACCCAAACTTCACTTGGTATGCTATTTGAAAAACCATATTCCAGTACATGGCTGCCAGCCAGCAATAGTTACTTTTGGTGATTGCTGTGTAACTTCGGAGTTCTACATTGTCCACAAAGGCACTGCTATCCTTGGCAGAGATTTATTAGCTGCTTTAAATCTCAGGGTAGTTAATGGACGAATTGATCTTCCTCAGCAAAGCACTCTTGCGGTACACACACCAGTTTCAGCTGGGACCCAACTCCAGGTTGAGGAGAAACTTGGCTGTGCTTATGGGTTTCTGAATAAAGTTAAAATGCGGAATAATGTGATGCCTGTACGACAGAAATTACGGCGCTTACCATTTTCAGTCAGGGAAGCTGTTTCAGAGGAACTTAGAAAACTTGTTCAAAGGACATTATTGAAGAGATTAACTCCTCAGAATGGGTTTCACCTATAGTACTGATGCAGAAGAAGGGTGGAGACATTTGCCTTTGTGTGGACTTAAGGGAGCCAAATAAAGCTATTGTGATTGACAGCCATCCTCTTCCTCACATAGAGGAAGTATTTGCAGAACTCCGTGGAGCAAAGATGTTTTCTACTCTTGATTTGCAGAGCGCATACCACCAAGTTATGTTGCATGAAGATAGCAGAGACCTCACAGCATTTATTACACATGAGGAACTATTTCATTTTAAACGTGTTCCATACGGTCTCACATCAGCCCCAAGTGCCTTCCAAAAAATGATGTCATTGATTCTGAAGAATCAACATGGAGTTCAGTGCTATTTGGATGATATTATTGTGTTTGGAAATACTACTGAGGAGCATGACAATAACCTGCAGTCTGTACTAAACTGCATCAGCAAAGCAGGCCTCAAGCTCAATAGGTCCAAATGCAAATTTAGACAAACTGAACTCTCCTTTCTGGGGCATACAATTTCACAGGCTGGACTAAAACCTGATCCAGATCATATCCTGACAATTTCAAATGCTCCTCCTCCAACAGATTTGCAAACCTTACGTTCCTTCTTGGGTCTTACCTCCTGGTATGCAAAATTCATTCCCAATTATGCTTCTGTCATTGAACCATTACGAGAATTACTATGGAGAAGTTCAACCTTAGTGTGGACAATGGATGCACAAGTTAGTTTCGAAAGGGTGAAAGACTTGATTGTACATAGTCCAGTACTTGCATTATTCAGTCCCACATTGCCCACAATTGTAACTACTGATGCTTCTGATTATGGACTTGGGGCTGTCCTCATACAACTTCATGAGGACAACACAGAGAGGACTGTTGCATTTGCTTCAAGGACACTAAGTAATGCTGAGAGAAAATATTCTACAGTTGAAAAAGAAGCACTTGCTTGTGTCTGGGCTACTGAAAAATGGAGAACTTACCTGTGGGGCTGCACGTTCAAGTTGCGCACAGACCACAGCCCTTTGACAACGTTGCTCACCACGAAAGGACTGGGAAGAGCAGGGTATCATATTGCTAGATGGTTTGCAAGACTACTCTCTTTCAATTATAAACTGGAATATAAGCCTGAAAACAAAAATGTGGTAGCTGATTGCCTTTCTCGCCTGACTTTGTCTTCACCAGCTGATCCACCGGAGGATGAGGATGTAGTAGTTGCGCTTATTACAAGCACTCTTACTGCAGTTACAAGAGAACAATTTCAAGCTGCTTGTTCAGCGTGTCCAATTCAACAAAAATTATGGGAATTTCTGACAAAGAGATGGCCCAGTAACCCTAAAAACCTTGACCCAGTTTTGCTGCCTTATTTTAGAGTTCGGGATGAACTTTCTTTGCTAGATGGATGTGTGCTACGAGGTACACACCAGCTACTTGTGCCAGAAGAGTTACAGTCAAAACTCATACACCTGGCACACGATACTCATCAAGGAATTGTCAGAACCAAACAACGACTACAGGATCTGTATTGGTGGCCAGGGATGGACTCTCAAACTGAAGCACTCATAAAATCCTGTGTCACTTGCCAAATGCATGATAAGACAGCAGTGACATGTACCCCTCCATTACAGCCTGTTCCTCTTCCTGAATCTGTATGGGAAAAAGTGGCGATTGACATTGTAGGACCCTTTGATACTGCTCCACTTGAGTGTCGTTATGCCATCACTTTAATAGACTATTTCAGCAAATGGCCTGAGGTGGCATTTACATCACAAATTTCTTCTGCTACAGTAATTAAGTTCCTCTCTTCAGTTTTTAGCCGGGAAGGTAACCCCAAAGAACGGGTTTCAGATAATGGTAGTCAATTTATTTCCCTGGAGTTTGAAACGTTTCTAGCAGAGAGGAACATTTTACACAGGAGGTCATCTCTATGTTACCCTCAAGCCAATGGGGAAATCGAACGGTTTAACAGAAGTTTGAAAGAGAGTTTGCAAACAGCTAAACTGGAAGGGCGATTGTGGATACCCTTCACTACTGATTTCTTGCAAGCATACTGGGCTACACAACATGCCACAACGCAAAGATCACCCGCAGAGTTACTTCATGGGAAACAGATGAATACTAAACTGAACATTGCTGGATTGTTAAAAGCACGACCTGATGCCCCACACAAGGATGATGTGAGAAAGACAGTTGAACAGAAGCAAGCAAAGTCTAAGGCTTTCACAGACAAACGGCGGGGTGCTAAGGAACCAAAGTTTGAGTGTGGTTCCTTTGTTAGAATACGAAAACCTGGACTCTTACACAAAGGGGACCATAAATTCATAGCTCCTCTTAAAATCATAGCGAAGAAGGGACCTTACACCTATCGACTTTCTGATGGGCGGGTATGGAATGCTTCTTATCTTGCACCTGCCTATGCACCAAGAGGAGATTATGCCAACACCCAGTCTGCATTGGATGACTTCATGGTAGAACCAACACAACAAGACATTGCACTGGAACCAGGGCTTGAGAGACAGCCTGTCAGACTCAGACCACTACCTGCCTGGACTTAAGACTATGTTATGTAGTATCTACAGTGTTTTCAGTGTAATATTCCTGCCAACAGGATAGTGTCTTGTTTCATATTTGTTCCTGTGGTTAGAACAACAATGTTTATTTTAATTTGGAAAGTTTCTCAAGAGAGGAGGGAATGTGGTGTTTAGATGCTGCATGTGATTATTAGAACTGGGAGCACTGGCTGTTGGGAGTCTGAAAGGACAGGAAACAGGAAGGAGGGGGGAGAAGTTGAGGAGGCTGGGAGAGTTACAGAGTGTGCAGCTACAGCTTGGAAAAGAGACTTCCACTGTAAATAAAGTTCTGTTGAACTTGTTAATACTTTGCTTGGTGGATACAACAGTTGCCTAAATATTTTTGAAAATCTGGCCTTAGATCTCTTTCAGGATAGATGTTTTCATGGTATTTAAGCACCTAACCATGGAGGTAGGAGCTTGGGTACTTTTGAAACTCCCGCTAATTGCCTATCTTCATGTTCAGGTAACTCAACAGCCCCATTCTCATTCACCCCAATGAACCAGAATTCATGCCCAATTTTTATTTCTTTCTGGTGCAGAACACTGGGTGAAATTAACTTCTGTGTAGAGGGCTAGTAAAAGTCCTGTGCATCACTTAAGCTCTCAAAATAGGGGTAAAGGAATAAATGCTCTGCTGAATTAAGTGGACACAACTCCAGTGAGAGATACACCAATAAGGAACTGAGATTCTGGAAGAATTTACCCACCTGCCCAGCCTCATTGGTGTGCTATACTCTGTCTGTGAAACCTGTGTACAAAAATCACTTCCCCATGTTTCTTCTTTAAAGAGAAACTCCAGTGAAACCAGAATGCAAATCACTGCTTCTAGGTGGGCTCCTGTTTAAATACAAACCCCAGGTTCTCGCAGCTCAGACGGTAATATCTGACTGATCGCTGCCCTGCCCTAACAAATCATGGAGTCACTATGGGTTTTCAGTTTGCTGTTATCTAGCCTGACTTGTGAGTATTTCTGGAGAACTCAGGGAACTTTCATATCCTAAACTTGAGGTCTATGGAGTAAAACTGGGGTAAGACTGATAAGACCCATAATCATTTTCCCTCTTCCCAGGCGTTCACTCGCAAGTTCAGCTGGCCCAGTCCGGCCCAGGAATGGTGAAGCTCGGAGAGACCCTCACCCTGACCTGAGCTGTTTCCGGTGATTCCAGCGGTGTCATTTCTAGTGGCTGTTGCTACTAGAGCTGGATCCAGCAGAGTCCCGGGAAAGGGCTGGAATGGATGGGACATATAATTATCGTTTGCCAGAAGCTTGGAATGAGCGACAGGAGGTGGGTCACTTGCTGATTCCCTGTTCTGTTCATTCCCTCTGGGGCACCTGGCATTGGCCACTGTTGGAAGACAGGACACTGGGCTAGATGGACTTTGGTCTGACCCAGTGGGTGAGCCTTGCCCAGCTTCTGGCAAACAAAGTCTGCGGTGATTATCTTGCAGATGGAGATAATTCCTGGGACTGGATCCGCCAGTCCCCAGAAAGAGACTGGAAATTGGGGCTGGAGACCCTACATTCCTACTGCTTATCCTTCCAAATTAGGACTGGACTCAGCATCTCTGGGAAAGCCTCTGAGGACTAGCTCTGTCAACACTGAGTGACATGTCAGCTGCAGAAACGGCCGTGTGTTACTGCTCCAGACCCAGGCAGTGAGCCAGAGCAAAGCGGGGATCGGCGCTAGAAGGGAAACCGGTTTGCAAACCGCCCTTTAGCACTAGGCGTTAGGAGCTGAAGGAGAGGGACTCACTGACAGGAGGGGTTTTCAGGAGGGAAAGCAAGGAAACTCCCTCATTTATCAAGTCCCCTGCAACGCAACACACACTGATTAGATCTTATTCCATTTCGTTGAGATGAGTAACGCACCTGTATCTACACACCCACCCTGGAGATTTCTCATCCCCTCCAGCAGGCGGCAGCACAGACACATAGCGATTGAGAAAGCAAGTGAGCGAGTGAAAGTCCCGGACTCTCCCCCCCCCCCCCCACACACACACACTGATGGTCTTATTACTCCTGAGGTAGCAATGACAGAAACACACCAAAGCTGATCCCGATTCCTTCTCTCCAATACGGGCGAGCACCAGGGACACCCATCCACATGAACAAGTTGGACTTTTCTCTACCTATCAGGAAGCCGCACAAACACCCCCCGGAATTTCTTCTCGGGCGGGACTCATTCAATCCAACAGAGAGCAGCAGTGACACACAAATGGATTTGCACCCATGCGGTGTGACAAATTCCTACAAGGAGGCAAGGTGCCCCACCTCGTGGATTAAAATTCAGGGTTCTGAATTCCCAACCTCTGTTGCTGGGTGACAGTGCCAGTCATCGCCCCGTGCCTCAGTTTCCTTGCCCCGTGTCTCAGTTTCCCCATCATTAAAAAGGAGGTACTTCTCCTTCATTCCTTTGTAATAGAGCTTTGACTTCTTCTGAAAAAAAAAAGAAATCTTTAAGAGCAAGGTTTTATTATGATAACATCTACTTGGATACCAATGCACAAGCAACACACACACACAAATGCATATTTCCAAGGTCCTATTTTCTCAAGCAAAGAGCACACTCAGTCACAAACACACATGCGTTTATACGCTCAGTTGCCCTTCACCCTTCCAGTAACAGGCTGCAGGGACACACAGATACAGTCACACATGTTCCACACAGCAGGAGGCCGCAACACCCAAACAATCGCACCTATGCCAAGAAAAAAACAATCTTATTCCACGCAGGCTCAGCCGGGGCAGCAACCCACGGACCCCAGCAGGGGTTAGCGCAGGTCTGGGCGCTCAGACTGAGGGATCAGCCGAGTAGGAGGGAGAGCTAACGGGTTTTAAGCTCCACGGCAGTGTATTGACTATATGTAAAAGTGTTCGGCGTCACTTAGCGAGATGGCCCCATGCCCCACAAATACAGGAATTCTGTCTCTAACCCCGTGTAAGATGCAGGCCTGTGCAACGAGGGGATTCCGGTCAAGTCACAGCCCACCCTGCCCTGCCCGTTCACCTCCCATCCCCACTGGGCGAAACCCACATGCAAATCCCTGCCCTGCTTAAACACCAGCCCCGGATCCTGCGAGCCTCAGGCGCCGCGCCGCGCTGGCCCGTTTCTTCCTGCTGCGGGGTATCCCCTTCTGCCACACCTCGGAGAAATGCCGGTGCTGCTGCTGGGGGGTTTTTTCTGCCTCTTGGCGGCTCCCTTCTGTGAGTATCTCGGGGACACGCAGCCCCCGCTCTCCTCCCTGCCCGCAGTGCAGCGTGGAGCGTCACTTCTCCTTTTCTCTCCTTTGCCCAGGTGTCCGCTCACAGATCCAGCTGGTCCCGTCCGCCCCGGGAGTGGTGACGCCCGGAGAGTCCCTCACAGTGACTTGTACCGTGTCGGGGGACTCCATCGCTACCCGCGCCTGGTGGAACTGGGTGCGCGAACTCCCCGGCCGAGGGCTGCAATGGGTCGGGCGCATCCATTTCTCCGGGAGCACGAACTACGCCCCCGACCTGCAAACCCGAGCGAACATCGCCAAAGATGACGCCAAGAACGAGTATTACCTGCAGCTCCGCTCCCTGACCGCTGCGGACACCGCCACCTATTACTGCACCAGGTGGGACCCACAGTGATACGCGCCGTGACAAGGGAGAATCCCCCTGAATGAGGCGGCTACGTCTCTTCCCTGTTACAATCTTCCTGCCTCTCCTAAGGCGCCTGAGATCTTCCCCCTTTGCGCTGATAGCTCGTTTCCAACCCTGAAATGTTTCCAGTGCGTTTTCCCTAATTAGCTCGAATCTTCATTGGCCGGGAGGAAGTGTGATTCGGGGATCAGGAGCTGGCTAGAGGCGCATCTGTCCTGTTTATCGCTCTGCAAGACCTGAGGCAAATCACTTAGACAGATTTTTAAAGGTATTTGGGCACCTAATAATTCCCATTGAAATACCTTTAAAAATCTGGCCATTCATTAGTGTCTGTGACTGCCCCGCCCCCAGGTCTACCAAAGACTTAGAATCATAGAATAGTAGGACTGGAAGGGACCTCAAGAGGTCATTAGTCCAGTTCCCAGCACTCATGGAAGGACTAAGTTTTATCTTCTGGACCATCCCTGACAATGTTTGTCTAACCCGCTCTTAAAAATCCCCAGTGATGGAGATTCCACAACCTCCCTAAGCACAAGACTCACCTTGCACAAGTCTCTCTAGGCCAGATTTTCAAAGTTGGGCACCCAAAGTTGCAGATGTGAAAATCCCTCTGGATGCCTAAGTACCTTAGCAGTTTAGCTCACAAAAGGCCACACATTTTTACGATATTTAGGTGCTTATGGTGTAGTTTTGGTCTTCACAGCATCCCCTGGCAAAGAGTTCCAGGGGTTGACTTTATTTTGTGTGAAAAAGTACTTCCTTTTGTTTTTTTAAAAACCTGCTGCCTTTTAATTTCATTGGATGACTGCTAGTTCTTGTGTTATGTGAAGGATTAAATAACTTTTCCTTATTCACTTTCTTCACACCAGTCAAGATTTTATAGACCTCTATCATATGCCCCCTTAGTCGTCTCTTTTCTAAGCTGAAAATTCCCAGTCATTTTAATTTCTCCTCCTGTTTCATACCCCTAATCATTTTAGTTGCCCATCTCTGTACCTTTTCCAATTCCAGTATATCTTTTGGGGGATGGGGTGACCAGATCTGCACACAGTATTCAAGGTGTGCACGAACCATGGATTTATATAGAGGCAATATGATATTTTCTGGCTTATTATCTATCCCTTTCTTAATGATTCCCAACATTCTCCTTGCTTTTTTGACTGCCACGGCACATTGAGTGGATGTTTTCAGAGAACTATCCACAATGACTCCAAGATCTCTTTCTTGAGTGTTAATAGCTAATTCAGACTCCTTCATTTTGTATGTAGAGTTGAGATTGTTTTCCAATGTGCATTACTTTGCATTTATCAACATTGAATTTCATCTGCCATTTTGTTGCCCAGTCACCCAGTTTTGTGAGATCCCTTTGTAACTCTTCGCAGTCTGCCTGGGACTTAACTCTCTTGAATAGTTTTGTATCTTCTGCAAATTTTGCCACCTCACAGTTTACCCATTTTTCCAGATCATTTATGAATATGTTGAACAGTAGTGGTCCCAGTACCGACCCCTCAGGGATACCACTATTTATCTCTCTCCATTCTGAAAACTGATAATTTATTCCTACCCTTTGTTTCCCATCTTTTAACCAGTTACTGATCCATGAGAGGACTTCCCTCTTATCCCATGAGGGCTTACTTTTCAAAAGTCAATTTAAATTAAATACATTTTTTTTAATTATATATTTTTCGAAATCTAGACCTGTTATGTGTTTTGGTGTAACTTGCATTATCCTTATGTTAAATTTGCATTATCCTTACAAAACATTTACTTTATTCATATCTCTTTTATATATCTCATCAGCCCTGACATCTCCCCTGTAAATTCGAACACCCCCACTAATTTCAATTCCTGAGGAAACCACTGTCCCCCTACATCCCAACCCCTCCCACCAAGGGATTTTAAACACTCCGCTTCCTCGTGCTGCGCACTGAAATGTGCACCCAGGGACTCACTGAGACAGGGGTGACGGTTACATGAATGGTGAGATACTCTGGGCCTCGTTTCCAGAAGATGCTCAGTGCCTGCATCTCTGAGTGACCCCAGTCACAGCTGTGCGCGATTATCCACTTCTGGGAATCCGGCTCTCTGTGACTCGCGTTGGGCACTGAACAATTCACACTCCCAAACTCAGAACCGGTGTAGGAAACGTTGCCCCAGGGGAGCCAATGTAAGAGGTGCTAAGCGGGCACTGCTCTGCCTGAACTCAGTGAGAGCTGCCGGGGCCCAGCACCTCCAAAAGTCAGCCCTCCCGCTGCAATGCTTTATGAGAGGAAGGGTAGCGTTAGGGGAAAGGCGCTGGACTGGTTTAAGGAGATTTGGGTTCAGTTCTGGTCTCTGCCAGACACTGCCTGAGAGAAAGTGGGTAACTGAGCTCATCTCTCTCCCCGCCTCAGTCCCCATCTACAGCGAATGTCAATGATCTCACACTGTGCAGTTCTCTGTACAGCGCAAGATGACACCATTTTGGGTTTACACTTCGGGGGGGTGGGTGCACTTGAATGCTGGGCAATTCCCTAGCTGAGTGCTCCCCTTGCAGAGCTGATTCCAGTGTCTGTGTGTGTAACCCTTCTGCCCATCTAAGTTGGCAGCAACAAGGGCCGGGTTCTGTATCTAGGGGTTCCGTTTCAATAACACAATGCAAAACCGGCTCGAGCCCCCACCCAGTGACCTGGGACAATTACATACCACCCCCCTGGGTACCTCTAAGAGGCAATACTTCCCCTCTCGCAAGCACGGAGTCTGAGTGTAGCAGAAAATGTTTAATAACATGAGGTAAACGACATCAGCATAAAATTGGAGAAACACCACAAACAGGATTCATAACACAAACCCTGAGCAAAACCCACCCCAGCAAATTGGGCTGTGTCCTTTCCCTTTGGTTCTTGAATCCAGCAACCCAAAAATCACCCAGAGTCCCCAAAGTCCAACACCCCCAAAGTCTCTTGGGTCCAGCAACCACCCAAAGTCCCAAAAGTCCAACAACCCCCAAAGTCTCTGTCCCTGGTCAGTGCAGCCCCAGAGCAAAGGGGGGGGGCACGCAGGGTGTTAAGGGGCACCTTACGTGATCCGAGGCTGGCCAGCCCTCTGTTTCTCCGTGGGGGTTCCGCCGCAGCCTTCACCACAAGCAAGTCCACTTTCCTGCCATCCCACGAACTGCTCCGCTCTACAAGCTGCTCCGCTCCGCTCACCAACCTGTGAGCCGTTCCAGCCGTCCCCACAAACAGCTCCGCTCGCCGTTCCTTGGGCCACTCCAACCGGCCCCGCAAGGCTCCGCGCTGCTCGCTGCTCCTCCAGTCGTCCCCACAAATTGCTTCACCAGCTGCTGAGCAATATGGCTTCAGGCTCCCCCACTAGTTAACACAGCACTCAGTGATCTCAGCTCTTAATAACTTTAGCTCTTTTGTGATTTCAGCTCTTAGTGATTTCAGCTCATAGTGTAGTAGGGGAGCCCCAGTGCTAGTGCACCATTGGCCCAAAGTGAATTCAGCTCAGCAGCCTGTAACTAGATTCCTAATGGAATCAAAGTTAGCTCTGACATTCAACAGTGGAGAGAGGAGGTGGTGCAATTGGTGTTTCAAACCCTCAGAGGGGGCCCATACCATCAGATACAAATACCTGTCCCCATCCTCTCTCAATTCACTGGGTTTTGTAACCCATGCCCCTTGTCAAGCAAGTGCTACTTAGGTAATGGTGAAGGACTCACTCAGTCCTTCTGTCATACAACAATTCCACTGGCCTTGATTCACAGAATCAGGGTAACAAAACTTTATTCTTCCCGCCCCAATAATAGAGAAACTGGGGATCCCATACCAGCCAAAGTAACCACTTTCAGTTGCTGTTGTTCCATGCCAGGCGAGTGGGTGTGCCTATGCAAACAAGATCAGCCCCTGGAGTTCTTTTCCACACTCGCCATAATTCACCACCAGATGTCAGGGTAGAGCTCATCCTGACTCTGCTTACATGTGTTATGCTTATAAGAAGCACACGGGATCTTTTTCAGGGGAAAAGGCAATACGCCGCGTTTATTGGAAATACAACAAACTGTCCAGCCTGGATTCAGTCCTCATCACCATGCTCCCGGTCTTGTTTCAGCAGTCATCCTGGGCCTGGATTCAGTGGAGAATGAACACTGATTAAGTCACTCCCCTGCCTTAAATAGGTTTACATATGGTGGGAACCCTTTGTTTTCCAGGGTGGTTCCTCCCACCACCACATCTCAGTGGAAAATACTGGTATTCTACCATGGAGTCCATTACCAGGTGACATGATCACATGACCCTGCAGTGTCAAAGAAGCCACGAGTCAAAGGCCATTTGTAGCATCCCAGGAAGTTGGGAGACTAGCATCTCCAAAGACATATTGTTCTCCCTAAGGGTCCATTGAATTGTCCCCAGCTAGCCAGCCAGACTGATTGCATTCTATCTGGTGGGTGTTCCCCAGGTGCAAAGACTTTTGTAGTACAGATATATAGTCAATATTCCTAACTTCAGATACAGAAATGATACAAACAGGATAATCATATTCAGCAAATCACAACCTTTCCCATTATACCTTACATGCCTTATCTTGCCCAAAATAGATCATATTTATGCTATAATCATATTAGAACAATATTCTATGAAGAATATGGGGCATAGTGTCACAACTCCCAGAAAAGGGGCAGAGGATTCAATGCAGTGCAGCGAGACCAGTTTTAGACGGTGTGTTGGATCCTGGCTGTAACACACGCATTCACACGAACACAAACTCCTGCACAGTGATCCCCCCACCCCTGATAGTAAATCGAATATCAACACCATATCCCACAAATAAAAAAAACTCTCTCACACACAAACACCTCCACACACGTCCACAGACTCACTTATAGACGCACTCAAAGTGAATCAAATATGAACAAAATACATAAAAATTTGTATTAAACAAAACATACTTCAGGTAATTTCTCTGTACCATGTGTCCTATCCAGAGCAAGGTGTGCCTAATGTCCCACAATACACTGTCCCATATTTCTGTTGTGATACACAAATTCAGTCAAAATGTGGGTCTGCATAATCCGATGTACCAGGGAAATTATGTCAAACAGAAATAAAATAATGTAACAGCACAGAGATGGAAAGATGAAATAGATATAAAGAGAAAGAAAAAGTCAACACACTATGTGTGTGTGTGTGTTCTCTGTACACAAAGGTATAAACGGACACAGAGTGAGAAGTCATCACTACCTCCATTAGGGGGTGGCACACAGAGAGAAAGAGTGAGCATGTTTCACAAACACACACAGAACTGGACTCTTCCCCTTCAGCAGGGACCGTCAATGAAAAACACAAGCATTCAGACACTTTTATCTACATGCACAGTCAACAATTCTCATCTCCTCTGGTGGGGGGCAGGAATTAACTGCGAACACGCACTGCTGGCGCGTTGCCAAGCATCCAGTAATCACTGGGGGAAATCCACTGGCTTGTGCCGTGCAGGTCAGATTAGCGGGTTCAAATGGTCCCTTCTGGGCTAAATATAATATGAAGCTATTAACTCGAAAGTGACATTAACTACAAGCTGCTACTTTCTCTTCCAGGTTACTCTTAGGATTCCCTGAGTGCAAAATCCTTCATCGCATAAAACCCAAACCTGCCCCGTTCCTTTGTGTCTCCATTTCCTCCTCCCTCACTGCCCCTGTTTGTCTGTATCCGCTACCGACTGCCCAGTGAACTAACATAATTTCACACCATGTAGAGGTCAAGCACAGGGGTTTATTATGTACAGCGCTGACGGAGTGTCACCTTGCTTATTAGGCTCAGAGACACTGTCAATCAGTTGATTACAATGGAATATATGGATTTTCCATGGGTGGGGGAAAGTGATGGGATAGGCAGTTCTACAACCCCTGATAGGTTTTGCAGCAAGACAAGATAGCACAGTAGCCAATGGTTAACAGGTTACATAATGTCTCTGCCCATGGTCTCAAGTTAACAAGTTAACATTTAATTAATACTTTGATAAATGTATTAGTATAAAATATATATATGTTGAATTCTGATTTGGGATCCATAGGAATGAAGCAACTCCTCTGATTGTCCAACAGATACATTCCTAGGGGTTAAAACAAAGAAACAGTGAAAGTATATGGCAATAAAGATCGTCTCCTTTGTGTCTTAAGGCAGGCACTGGTCCCTGGGAAAGGGAGGTGGGAGGAGGCCATATCTTATACTAACATGTTCCAACCTTTCATCAACTCAAGATTGGAGATGTGGGAAGAACATCTCCCTACAAAAGAAACTAACACAACAGACACAGGGCTTCTTTGTTCAATTTGCAACTCTGAATAAGACACAATTATTCAGTTATTGCTCCAACATCTGGGAATTTTGCTGACCAGGCTTATCTTAGCAAAAGCAAGGTTATCTTTTGGTTATTCTGCTTTTTCCTAGCTAATCACTATTCGCTAGGCCTCTGGTCTCGTGACCAAACTCTGGACTTTGGGCCTGGAAAAGAGCTGGCACAATTCATATACCAAGTTATTACTAAGCTGCACATGGATTTTAACCCTTCATCTCTCCACACCTGCACCACTTTCCCCTTTGGATATATCTGCAATGTCAGTTATTAACTAATCAGTATTACACAGAGGAATCACCTTCCCCTTTGCTCATCCCCCCTGACAGCTCATTTCTATTGACTGCTTCTGTGCACTGGTTATGTTTCTCGGAGATGCCCAACGCACTTCTCAGCAGCCACTGTTGGAGGTTGGGATTCACACAGCCAGTTAACCTCTTTCCTAAGGCACATTACACTCAAGGGAAAGGGCGTCATAAGGTTCAGTGACCTCCCCAGCCCAGCTCAGAACTGATGAAGACATGTTACTGTCCACTCCACCAGCCAATACTCCCAACCTACATGGTCGCCTTATACCCGCTGGGTGCAACTCACATGCAAATCCATCCCCACAGGATTGCTGGTTAAATACCAACCCCTGGTTCTAGGAGCCCCAGTCTCTCCCCAGACACAGAACTGCCCGGTCCTGCCCGCTGTGGAGTTTCCCTCATTGCATGAAAACGAGAATGAAATCTCTGTTGCTTTTCCTTTTCCTGTTCTCTACCCCCACCAGTGAGTGTCTATGGGGCACTGAGGGGAATTGGTGACAGATCTGTGGAGTCTTTCTGTGGCTAATGCCTTTCTTGCTTTCTTTCCCTTTTCCCAGGTGTCCTCTGTCAGGTGCAGCTGGTCCAGTCCGGCTCGGGGGCGGTAAAGCCCGGAGAGACCCTCACACTGACCTGCGCTGTCTCTGGGTTCTCCATCACTACTCAGTATTACTATTGGCACTGGATCCGGCAGCCCCCTGGGAAAGGGCTGGAGTGGATGGGGTATGTGTACCCGTATAGTAGCGGGAGCACAAGCTACGCCCCGTCTCTCCAAGGCCGAATCACCATCTCTGCGGACACTGCCAAGAGCCAGTTCTCCCTGCAGTTCCGCTCGCTGACAGCTGCAGACACCGCCACCTATTACTGCGCCAGAGACACAGTGACACAGAGCACAGCGGGACTGGCACGAAAAAGGGAAGCAGTTTCTAAATAGCCCAGGGAGGCCGGAGTTACAGGGACAGTGGAGCGCTGCAGAGAAAGAGACACACACGGTGAACTCACTATGACAAACATACATCCAAATAGTTGGGATTTTTTTTTAACTCTGCAGAATGTACCCAGTTTCTCCAGACATGCCTCGCCTTTGAGCTGCCACAGAAATCATGGGAAACTCACTGATAAAACGGAAGTGTTTCATAGAATATCAGGGTTGGGGGCTCAGGGCAGTGGGTTGGGATGCAGAAGGGGTGCGGGGTGCGGCAGGGGGTTGGGGTGCAGGAGGGGTGCAGGGTATGGCAGGGGGTCGGGGTGCAGGGTGCGGCAGGGGGCTCAGGGCAGGGGGTTCGGCTGCAGGAGAGGTTCAGGGGGCAGGATTTGGCATGGCGCGTACCGGGGGCAGGGCAGGTTCCCCGCCTGCCTGTCTGCCCTGCCCCCGCAATAGGCTGGAATGGGAAGCGGTTTCTAAATAGCCCAGGGAGGCCGGAGTTACAGGGACAGTGGAGCGCTGCAGAGAAAGAGACACACACGGTGAACTCACTATGAAAAACATACATCCAAATAGTTGGGATTTTTTTTTAACTCTGCAGAATTTAGCCAGTTTCTCCGGACATGCCTCACCTTTGAGCTGTCACAGAAATCATGGGAAACTCACTGATAAAACACAGGTGTTTCCTTCCTTCCGAACAGCTATTGGAGCGGGCAGGGAAAGCATCACGGAATTAAGAGCTACAAAATAATGGCACCGTGTGTCTGTGTCCCAGTGCATGTCAAGTGTGCACCGGGAAGGTCGCGGTCTTTGCCTTCGGAAGAGAGTGACGGGCGCGCACACACTCACAGAGAGGGAGGGAGGGAGAACAACTCTGATTTTCTCCATTAGGAGGCAGTACTCCGACACACCCATACACAGAGAGAGAGAGTTAGATAAGTTAATGGAGGACAGGTCTATCAATGGCTACTAGCCAAGGTGGGCAGGGATGAGACCCCATGCTCTGGGTACCCTTAGACCTCTGACTGCCAGAAGCTGGGACCGGACAAGGGGGGGTGGATCACTCAGTGGTTGTCTGCTCTGTTCATTCCCTTTGAAGCACCTGGCATTGGCCCCTGTCCGCAGACAGGACACTGGGCTAGATGCACTTTTGGTCTGACCCAATATGACCGCTCTTATGTTCTCATGGGAAGAACCTCACACTGATCTGTGATGTGTCGGATTCCTCCTTAGGACCAGATTTTTAACGTTATTTAATGTTCTAACTACCAAAAAAGGGGGCAGACAATTCTATGCAGTGCAATGAGACCAGTTTTAGATGGAGTGTTGGATCCTGGCTGTGACACACACATTCACATGAACACAAACTCATACACAGTGATATCCCTCCACACAAACACACACACACACACACACACACACTCCCTTATAGACTCCCCCAAAGTGAATAGAATATGAACACAATACATAAAATGTTGTATTAAACAAAACCGACTTTAGGTAATTTCTCTCTGCCGCATGCCCTACCAGAGCAACGTCTGACTAATGTCCCACAATAAACTGTCCCAAAATTCTGTTGTGATACACAAATTCAGTGAAAATGTGGGTTGGCATGATCCGAAGTGCCACGGGAATTATGTGAAAGAGAAATAAAATAATGTAATGGCACAGCAGACATGGAACAATTAAAATTTAGTGACGTCTCCATCCCATCCAAGACGTGCTGAAGACGTGTTTCTGTCGACTCCACCAGACAATACTCCTTACCTAGACTTCTCCCTGTCGCCTTATATCCTCTGGGTGCAACCCGCATGCAAATCCCTCCCCAGGGGGTTGCTGTTTAAATACAAACCCCTGGTTCTAGGCGCCTCAGTCTCTCCCCAGACACAGAACTGCCCAGTCCTGCCCGCTGGGGAGTTTCCCTCATTGCATGAAAACGAGAATGAAATCTCTGTTGCTTTTCCTTTCCCTGCTCTCCGTCCCCACCTGTAAGTGTCTCTGGGGCAGTGGGGGAATCAGGGACTGAACCATAGATTTGTTCGGTGGTAATACTGTCCTCACTTTGTTTCCTTTTCCCAGGTGTCCTCTCTCAGGTGCAGCTGGTCCAGTCGGGCCCGGGAACGGTGAAGCCCGGAGAGACCCTCACACTGACCTGCGCTGTCTCGGGTGTATCCATCACTGACGGCAGCTACGCTTGGAACTGGATCCGGCAGCCCTCCGGGAAAGGGCTGGAGTGGATGGGGTACGTGTACCCATACAATAGCGGGGAGACAGGCTACGCCCCGTCTCTCCAAGGCCGAGTCACCATCTCTGCAGACACTGCCAAGAGCCAGTTCTCCCTGCAGCTCCGCTCGCTGACAGCCGCAGACACCGCCACCTATTACTGTGCCAGACACACAGTGACACAGAGCAAAGCGGGACTGGCACAAAAAGAGGAAGTTGGTTCTAAGTAGCCGAGTCAGGCCAGAGAAGCAGGGATAGCTGAGCCCCTCAGAGATAAAGACACACACAGTAGATTGAATACTAACAACCTGCATACTAATAGATATCGGTTAAAAATGCCTCCAGCTGCCACCCAGTTTCTCTGGACACCATTTACCTTTCTGCTGCCACAGGAAGCTTTGCAAACTTACTGAGAAATGTGTCATTTGTTACATTACGTTTATTATAGTAACAGGCAGAGACAGATTCATGGCAAAACAGTTACACAAAAATCACTCAGAATTTCTGTCTGTTTGCCTGTGTGTGAGTCTCATTCTGTCCAGTAGGGGGCAGCAGTTTCCCTGTCACACCCTCCACCCGCAAAGCGGTTCTTCTATAGGCAAGCACCTAAACTTAGATGCTGCATTTCCCCTGTGTGTGGTCACAAACCAGTCCTCCCCACAGTTCTGCTCCCACGTATTGCTGTGCTAGTGACAGAGAGTAAAGCTGAGCGGGGGGAGGCTAATACAATAATTCCTGTTCAGATTCGCAGCTCATGAAATACTGCGTGATCAGCCCCCCTGTGTTCCTAACCCTTATCCCCAGGCTGGAGAGCGGGGCTGGATCCATGATTTCAGGCAGAGATGGTGGGTGCCCAGTTTACAGGGGCTGTTGGAAAACGGCAGAAAACATAGTCCGAAGCCCATGGAATGATGGGAGAGAAAAAACTGTGAGCCTGCACTCATGATGCACTGCGATCCATTCCCTATTCCCACAGTTCCTAGCAGCAGCAGGTGGTGAGTCGCACAGTGGGATAGCTACCCATGGTGCACTGCTCTCTCTGTCAATGCTAGAGAACCAGCTGTGGACCTGCTCTGCTGACACAGGGAGCGGCGTGTGAACGCACACTAGCCATGAAATTATAGCGGTTTATGATCGTCGGCGTAACTTGCATCAACCTAACTCTGTAGTTTAGATGCAGCCTTAGGGAAAGCGGATTCAACACAGAGGTTCAGGCCTCTCTGGTGCTGTAATTTACCATTTCCATTGTAGTCTGCAGGGAACAAGACACTCACCATGTCTCACTCAAGATGGTGGCGCCTACAAACAAAACCGTTCCATCCCCCTCTATTGTGCGTCTCCCTTCAGGGCTGCTGCAGCTCTCAGGTTGAGATGCCCCAGAAGATGCATCTGTGACAGGTTGGATCACAGAAACCCCTGTGATGAAGTGGGAATGTTCCTAATGTTTTCTTTGAATACTGGGTGGGTGCCTGTGACGCCGCAGGGAGTGGGGAGGATTGACCTGGGGTTGTTGCAGGCAGGGGCGGCTCCAGGCACCAGCGCACCAAGTGCGTGCCTGGGGCGGCAAGCCACGGGGGGTGGCCTGCCAGTCCCTGCAAGGGCGGCAGTCAGGCAGCCTTCGGCGGCATGCCTGTGGGAGGTCTGCCTGTCCTGCGGCTTCGGCGGCAGATTGGTACAGGTCCTGGGGGGAAGGGGGGTTGTTCGCCTTCCTCTGCAGTGTGGGGCATGGGTCACTTGCTGGAGGATTCTCTGCACCTTGAAGTCTTTAAACCATGATTTGACGACTTCAATAGCTCAGACATAGGTTAGGGGTTTGTTACAGGAGTGGGTGGGAGAGATTCTGTGGCCTGCGTTGTGCAGGAGGTCAGACCAGACGATCATAATGGTCCCTTCTGACCTTAAAGTCTATGAGTCTAAAATGGAGGGGTCTCCCAGGGGCATAAATAGACTTTCTCTTGTGGGTGGAGACCCCCTCCTCTCTCCTATCCACAATTCAGCTCCAAGATGGAGTTTTGGAGTCACATGGGCGAGTCACATGTCCATGTATGACTGAGTTCCTTACCAGCTAGGCCACATTCCCAGGAAAGCTCAGATGTGGACTGGCATCTCCAAGTTCATTATTAGCTTAAGTTTTTCTTGATTGGGCACTTACTGAGAATAGTCTTTTCTCAGGAATCTGACCAACTGCTTCACTACAGTATGCAGCCAATATTCATAACTTCGCATACAAAAATGATTCATGCATACAAATAGGATGAATATATCCAGTAGATCATAACCTTTGCAGAGATATGTTACATGGCATATGTAGCATAAAACATATTCCAGTTATGTCATATTTACTTTCATAAGCATATTTCCATAAAGCATTATGGGGTGCAACGTCACAGCATCTTCTCTCCATGCCCAGTTCCTCCCTCTTACCTACAGCTCTTTCTCAGTCTCTGGTGCTGCCTGAGACCAGCCTTTCTCTCCCCCTGCAGCTGCGACTCCTTCCCCCTCAAATGTTCCCAGGAGCTTTGTTCTTATTGGCAGAGTCTGTATGTGCCTTATATTTATTCCATGTACCCAGCACATTCTGCAGTAGCCATGGCTTGAATGGAGAGAAGCCCATTGACTTCCCTGGCCTCTGGGTCACACCCTAAGAGATGAAGGGGGCTGTGAATCTCCTACCCAGCAGACAGCCCAGCCTAGCTAGAGGTCTCCCCCATAGTTTATACTCGCTGGATGAAAGCTGCATGGAAATGCCTGGCCTAGGGGGTTCTCCTGAGTCCAAGCCCTGCCAGATTTACAGGCACAGTTCAGCCCTCCCCCAAGAGAGAGACACGCGCCTCTGTACCATGGTTTTGGATCCCACTGGGAGCTGGGTGTCTGGGTGCTGGAGACAGGAGCACTGGCTGGGCTGTTTTCAGTTAAAGTCTGCAGCTTTGGGGGCATGGACAAGACCCTGGGCCTGTGTCGCAGCAGGCTAGTGTGTCTGGCTCATCAAGACAGGGCTCCGGAGTCCCAAGCTGGCAGGAAAATAGGCTCAGAGGTAATTTCAGCCCATCAGGTGACAGTCCCAAGGAGGCCTCCGTGACCAACCCCATCACGCACCCCAGTTTGCAGCATCCACTACTGGGATGTTTATTTTACAATCCCAGGCAGGAAGGGGGGGGTCTGACTCTCCCGTCTCCCACGGAGCGCTCCAGCCTCCCGGAAAGTTTATCCCCACTCGGAGATACCCACATGCCAGTCCCTGTGAGGGGAAAATGCTCAGAATTCCCTTGTGTCCTGTCCGGTCTTTTCCAGGTTTCCTGGGGATTTAAGGGGACATTTAACTGTGAGCAGAGGAGGCAGAGTCTGTCGTCCTTGCCCAAACAAACCCTCTGCCATCGCCTTGACTCGAGCTCAAACGAACCCCCACTTATACTCGCGAATGCACAGTGCCAAGATCCCACGGTGATGGGCGTCAGCCTCAGACCCCGGACAGCTGGAACCCGGGCAGTGATTATGAGGCGTTCGCTAATGCTCTGCTCATCCCCCGGCCTGGCACACAGCTAATGAGGGGAGACTGGCCAATGGGCGCCGGAGATCGCTCCTTGTTCCACCTCCTTTTCAAGAGGGATGGGGTGGTGGGGGTGTTTTATGCAAATCTCAGGCCCCCGTTCCCCGTTTAAAGAGCAGCTCCTGGGTTCTCACTGGGACCCGTCTCCTCAGGGCCTGACCCGCATCTTCATTGGTTTGCGTTTCACTTGAAGACCAACATGAAATCTTTACTCGTCCTCGTGCTGTCACTGGCCGCTGCCCCGGGTGAGTGTCCAGGGGAGATTTGGGAGACAGGACCGACGCCTTGAAGCAGAATCGGGGCCTTAACGCTCTGTTTTCCTTTTCCCAGGTGTCCTCTGCCAGGTGCAGCTCGTCCAGTCTGGCCCGGGGGCGGTGAAGCCCGGAGAGACCCTCACCCTGAGCTGCGCTGTCTCGGGTGTTTCCATCACTGACAGCAGCTATGCTTGGCACTGGGTCCGGCAGCCCCCCGGTGAAGGCCTGCAGTGGCTCGGGTATATAAGCTCTGCTGGGAGCACAGGCTACACCCCGTCTCTCCAGAGCCGCCTGAGCTTCTCCAGAGACACGGCTAAAAATTCACTTTCCCTGCAGCTGCGCTCGCTGGCAGCTGCGGACACCGCCACCTATTACTGCACCAGACACACAGTGACACGGAGCAGAGCGGGACCGGTACAAAAAGGGGAAGCGGCTGATAAACAGCAAAGTGAGGCCAGAGAGACAAGGGTACTTGAGCCCCCACCCCCGACACTGCCCAGGAACACACAGTGGTTAGAGCAGGACAAACATCCCCAGAGATATTATCAAAACTGCCCCCAGAGCTACCCAGTTTCTCTCACCCGATTGACCTGTAGCTGCCCCAGGAATCGTGTCCCGCTACAGCCAAAATAAAGTGAGTGGTTTGTATTTCAGTGGCTCTAGGAACATTCACGGATGTACAGAGTTAGGCGCGGACAGGGACCGGGGGAGGTGTCGATCTGTTTGCTGTGAGTGTCTCTGCATGTTTATGTGCACCAAGAAGGACTTTTTCCAGCACAACCACCCAACACACACACACCCCACGCCTCCTTTCCTCCAGTAGGGGGCAGCACTCTCCCTCTCTCCCACACACACTCCGGCTTTTCTATATGGAAAGCACCTGACCATCAGCTGCTGCATTTCTCTCCAGGGCTTGGTCCAGACTCTCCCCCGTGTCCCAGGCATCGCAGCCCCTGTTCTGACAAAGCCCAGACCCTGCAGCGTCTCTCCCTGCCCAGTCCCCTCCCACTCTTAGCCCAGCGCAGGGAAGCCCAGGGGAAATCCACAGATTCTGCTGCCTCAGTCTCTCCCCAGAACCCAAACTGCTCGTACTTGGCTGGACGTTTCCCTGCCGGCCTCCAACCCCCACTGGGAGCTCTCTGTGGCTGTTCCTTTCTCTGGAGCCCCACACATCACTGGGGTGTCACCCCACCCTGCCAGGAGCAGCGCACCCACCCCACTCACTATTACATAAGAGCATTTGAATGGCCAGACTGGGTCAGACCAAAGGTCCATCCAGCCCAGTATCCTGTCCAGGGCCGCCCAGAGGATTCAGGGGGCCTGGTGTCTTCGGCGGCGGGGGCCCCCCGCCGCCGGTTTGCCGCCGTAGATCCGGCACTTTGGCGGCAGGTCCCGGAGCAGAAGGACCCCCTGCCGCCGAATTGCCGCC